ATTTTGTACGTGGTGCTACTGTTAAACTGAATTTTGAGCCTTGGCTACTTAGAACATTGATCAGAAAATTTAAGATGGCAGTCAAATTTATGATAGGATATTAAAACTAAAATTGACGCGTTATATATTTAGAAATATGACATTTTACTTTGATTTATGAATAACAGTGAATAAATGGAAAAATAGAAAGGGAAAAGTCTTCAATTTTTTATTTCCTTCTTTATATTCGATAAACATTAAAATACTTGTTTTATGTGACCAATAAAATATAACTCATACTTAAGTGCTATATTCCAAAATGGAAACAGGATGAGAAAATAACATGCTTCATCTCATTTAAAACACTGATTTTAAATGAATTTTTTCATGTTTTTTTTGTCGGTGTTCCCATCGACTTCAAAAATATTTTTTATGGTGTATAGAAAATCGATTTTTTGCTAAAATTTGCCATCACTAATTCCTGCAACTACAATATTAAAGAAAGCTTTATTTCTTCAAATGAAATTGGTTCTCCACAATTAGTTCTGTAATTAATATCACGTAGGGTAGCGTGGATCAAAAGTCCGCACTTTTTTGTATAATGTGAATTTCCACTCGTGTAATTGGTATAATGATTCGGTTTTTGTACAAAGCTATGCTTAATTCATGAAAAGTAAACTATCCAAAAAGAATAGCGTATTTTTAAATTTGATGTCTAAAAAAACATTAAAGAAGGAAGTGCAGTATTCGGAATTTTGCCCCAGGTGCGGGGTAAAAGTTCCAAACAAAAGGGGCAAATGACCGAATAGACAAAACATTAAACTTCCTTAGAAGTAAATTAATAATGTTTACAAGGCTCACACGCATTAAATTAATGCAACTAGCTTTTTTTAGTAAATAATTAAATGTGATTTATTTTCTAAAAGGTCAAAATGAAGTCTTCAATTGTAAATTATACTCTGATAAAAAAATCTCACAATAAATTCAGAGTATACATTAATTCTCACACATCATGCAGAAGTTGCCCTTCCTCATAGGAAATGCATTTTTCATGTCTCACCTCTTTACCCGAATCATATTGGATCCAGTCTTCAGCTGGAGGGTCCTCGAATTCCATTTCGCAGGCAGGGCATGGCCCTATCGGATTATTTCCTGTGGCAACTGGTTCATCATTCTTTCCCTTTCCTCTCTTATTTGTGAAGTTGCAAAGCGATTTCTGATTGCCATTTCCGGGCCGCTTATTCTCCAGTGCAGTCTTGTGAGGTGACGATGTCAGTATGGGGACTTCTTTCTTCGCCGCGTTTGTTTTCTCTTCCATTCTATATTTCGGATGGACATAATGTTGGATGAAGAGTAATGTGTACCGCTATTCTTTGAAGTTTCACAATTTGGAGAATCATGTTCCTTGGGGAATGTTGTGACCTTGCTCAATACAGGCGACGTTGACTCCTGTGAGTGATTTATAGTTTGATCACATGACTACATACTTCATTTAATGCCAACTCATCTGTCAGTGTAGAGGGAGAAATGGGTCTCTGGTCTGTGACCTGTGAAATGAGGAAGGATGGAAGGAAGGCTTTCTCCCCGAATTTGAATTTGTCAATGGGTACAATACCTCAGACTTCAAAGGCTTTCGCAACCTTTTCAATCGTACAATTCTTCATGTATGATATACCAAACAATTCCTCTTCCTGGAATTGGGTAATGATCCTTTGTGGATAAATTTCAACATGCGCTATTATTAGTGGGGCAGACGTCCTCCCCAGAATTCTTTTCCCGACATGAATGCGGATCCTTGTCCCAACCGTCAGAATATATTTTAATTTGTGCTCCCTTCTGTCAGGCATCTACGAAAGTATTTACTGGTGCTTTGTGTAGGTCACATTTCACATATCCATACTCTTAATTGTAGATTTTAATTACTGTGTTATTAACAGCGTAAACATATTTCCAATGTCTTGCAAAATTACAACAAATTAATCTCATCTCACTGTCGCAGCAGTATTTGCACAAACTCTCCTCTCAGAACATCAGCCATGACAATTTTTATTGTTGAAGTACAACTTCACTCCTCGAAAACTGTAATTAAGCTAATCTGAAGATTCTTGCCCTGCACTACTCTACATTTTTTCAAAATATTGCAAATTTGAGTGAACATAAGGGCATTATTAAAAAACATTCTCAAAAATGGCTCTATTTTTTTCAATGAATACTGCTAAATGCACTGTATAAGATGACAAATTCTATTTTGCTGTATTTTTTGTGTTGCTTTTCCGGAAATAACATAAATGTTTTTTTTTTTTTTTTAAATCTCTTATCCCGTTAACATTTACATTACCGGTTATTTGTACACGATTGCCTGTGTGTTGTATTTTAGTTCTGAAAAGACACCTAAATAATTTGCATTTTTTATTAATTTTAGAAAAATCGAGGGTTTTAATGAACATGAGACCTACATCAATCTCAAACATCCTTCACGTTGTCCAATAAAGACATTCAATAAAAAAAATGATGGAGTCATTGTTTTGCAATGTTCCAGGGGCTTCGTGTAAAGAATACCCCCAAATTAAAATGTCTGTTTCAAATTCAAGGGGCCGCGACATCAGCCAGATCGATTGACCCACAAAACATGTGTTCTAACTACACATGTTTGAAGAAGTTCCTATGGGTGGAACAACATGTATTCACTTATTTGTTGCAACATATTCTTCTCAGACAAATCAACTTCAATAAATTTATCCATGAAGAGTCTTGTGATTGTTAGAGAAACGCTGAAAATTTCATCTTGAAATGTATTGGGTCATTAAACATTTTGATAGGCATTTCATCTGACGGCATTTTAAATGCTTTCAACGAAGAAATGATGTAGCAAATTCATCTAGAGAAATTTTGGGTCACTAAGAATGTTTGTCAGACATTTCGTCTTACTCGGGATTTTAAAGTTGCGTACAACGAGTTTGATTGAATTAAAATTCATAAACATTTAATCTTACCGCGTAATGTTGCTTACGAGTTTAATTCAATTAAAATTCATAGACATTTCGTCTTACCGCGGAATTTTAATGCTGCTTAAGAGTTTAAATCAATTAAAATTCATACGCATTTCATCTTACCGCGGCATTTTAATGTTGCTTACGAGTCTCATTCAATTAAAACTCCTCGTTGGCCGAGAGGCGCCCGGAACTGCTCATGGAGCGTTTGACAGGCCATGAATATTGCGCGA